AACTGGGATGGGAAACTTATGAGACTTATCTCCAACTAACTACCAAAAACGCGGGGAAGTGGAGCTGTGGCTTAAGTGCTAGCAGTAAGCAAAAAAGCTCAGGGACAGTGCCCAGGTATTGAGTTTAAGCCCCAGGACTGGCACACATGCATGCACACACACACACACACACACACACACACACACACAACCAAGTAACAACGATATTTCAGAGTCTTCCCACAGATCCCTTTCTCTATTCTCCCCTTATAAGCATCTCATGCTTGTCAAAACTAAAAACTGACATTGGGGCTTTGTGTGAACTAAAGTCTATATTTGCTTGGACTTTGTCAGGTTTTCCATGAATGTTCTCTGTCTATGCAGCATCCAACTGGGGGCTACTTTGCATCAGCTGTTGCCATCTGCAGCCTTTTCTAGTTCATGAAGTCTCTCCAATCTTGTCTTGGTTTTCATGATTTAAGTTAGTTTTCAGGAGTTCTGCCAAGAATCCTATAAGATGACTGGATTTGTCTGCTGGTTTCCTCATAACAATGACACGATTTATTTTGTGGAATGAATAACATAGAAATGACCTTCTTGTGGTGAGGGAGTGACAGATCGCATCCACAGGATGACAACAGTGATGTTAACATTCCACTCTTGGGTTAAGGTAGAGTTCACAAGACTCCTCTGTAAAGTTGCTAATGCTGTCTTCTGCACTGGAAACTTTGGGAATGAGTCATGAATATAGCTCACTCTCCATGGGAGGTGAAAAGTAATTAAGCAATTTTAGGAAGACAGAGTAGATTCAGAATTATCGACTTATTTAGAACATATGTTTCATAAATTCTGTCACTAAGAGGACAGAATAGAAAATCTGGAAATAAACTTGCACATTTGTGGTAAAAAAAAAAAAAAAAAAAAAAAAAAAATTTCACAAAGGTACCAAAAGCAAACAATGGGAAGATGGAGGAAAGAGGATGAATAAGAAAAAGTAAAAGTCTGAACTTCCATCTAACCATAACAGAAAGCTAATCATCTCTCTTCGGGGGGGAATGGTCCCTACCCCATTGTTCTTCCTGGGTGCACTTGTAGCTCCTTCCCTAGAAGTCCCCACCCAGTATTTCTAACATAATCCAGGTAACTGGTATACCTGGGGGCAGTGGAAGGTCCCCCGGCTGTGAGGTCTTCTCTTAGATCACACCTCCTCTCCACTCTCTCTTATCTATTGTTCTTCATCATCAGTTCCCCCTTGTTTTGCTCCTGGTCCCTGGCAGCCTTTCCCTTGCCCCTTGACCCTCCCCCTCTTCCCTTCTCTTTCCCTTCCTCTGCATCCCTTGCACCCCACCCGCACCCCACATGCCTCTGTCTTGTACAGGCCAGCAGTATGCTCTCCCCCCAATAAACGCTTTTCTGCCTGAACCAAGCGATGGTCTCCTTTTGGCTGAAGCTTACACTAAAATTTATGAATTAGTAAGTCATAGTAATATATACATAAAAAACAAATACATGGAAATACTAAAAATACCTATCAGCCAACTTTCTTTCGTTATGACAAATTAACTGAAAAATGCAGGAAAGGAGGAAATATTTCGGCTCACAGTTTCATAGGTTCCAGCCCATGATGCATTTTTGCCTTGTTGTTTTATGCCTGAGATGAAGCAGAACATCATAGAGTTAGAGAGCATGTGATAGAGCAAAGCTGCTCACATCAGGGTGGCAAGGAAGAGAGAGGAGGGCCAGGGGAGACAGAGAGACAAAGAAAGAGACAGAGACGGGAAGAGGAAGGCCAGAGTCCCAATACTCCACTCAAGGGTACCAATGACTTGACTTCCTTCCCCTAAGTTCCACCTCCTATGGTTTTCCCCTCCTCCGTAGCAGCACAAGGCGGCAACCAAACCCTAACAACACATGGTCTCAAATTTAACACCACCAAAAGAAAAAGCTACACGAATTTAAAGTCCTGAAACCCAACTTAGGGAAGGTTGAGCTGGGGTAGGGGCAAGACATCAGGATTTATATTATAAGCACTTCATTATCATTTAATTTGCTAAACACCAGAAAGGTAACATGCTAAATTAAATATCAAGAAATATTTTAGTATTAGTGAATTTGTCACACAACTTGTGTGTGTATATGTGTGCCGCTATGTACTAAACGACCTTGTGTATTCTATGTACATGTTCTACCTCTGAGCTATACCCCTAATGCACATCTTTTTTGTGACTTTAGTTGGAGTAAAATATAGGAAAGATAATATTAAAAATAAATGTTACTAATTCCTACCATCTGTGCTAGTCCTCAATCCTGGGCTCTTCACTTTTCACCTTCCTCTATCGTTCCCATCATTTTACCCACACAAGGAGCTCTGGCTCAGACCTAGAATCTAATCTGAGCTTTAGCAGTGCAACCTTGAGGGAGTCACTTTTCTGTGGTCTTCAACTTCTGTCAGCAAAGTGAAACACTCAGACTAAATACTCGGGTCTCCTGCAAGTGGGGACAGTGACAACAGCTTCTCCCCTACTCCAAAATGCTAAGGGATAGCAAGTGGGAACCTGGGTATGCGAGCTGACATCCTGTGTGTATACTTTCCCGGGCCTTGCTTCCCATTTTATCCTAAAGCTGAGAAGCTAAGTCCCAAACATTTGTTTACACTGCCCTCTACTGTACAGAAATCACCATTACTACAAAGGCCACAAAGAACAGTTACCATGGTGGGGCCGCTGACTCACGGGCAAACAGCCGATACTATATTCAGAAAACGTTGAATTCAAACCATAAAATCATGTTTGACCAATACATCCTGCTCCAGGGTGTGAGATATTACCCTGATATATTAGAAACCCAAGTTTTGCTTATATCAGTCCTCTTTTGATTGCTGGGCAGATTAGGGTAAGATAAGGAAAGGCATGAAGGACTGCAGTTATATTGTAAATGATTCTAGAAAGTTCTAGAAAAAAGCCCTGATGAATCACTGTTGGAAGGCTAATGATATTTGGATTTGAGCCATGAAGGGCGAAACAAAAATAAGACTTTTCCTAATAAAAGTTCATTAAAAGTGTACTATGGGGGCTGGGAAGGTGGCTCAGTGGTAGAGCGCTTGCCTTGCATGCATGAGGCCCTGGGTTCGATTCCTCAGCACCACATAAGCAAAAAGAAAAAAGCCAGAAGTGGCGCTGTGGCTCAAGTGGTAGAGCGCTAGCCTTGAGCTGAAGAGCTGAGGGACAGCGGCCAGGCCCAGAGTTCAGGCCCCACAACTGGACCAAAAAACAAAACAAAACAAAACAAAAAAGTGTACTATGGGCCTTTAGTTAGATCTCCATTTGAATATTGTTTCTGTAATTAAAACCTGGCTATCATAAAACAGGACAGTCTTCCCTGGAGAAACTGAGTTTCACCTTACATTTGCAACACAGAGTATGTAGGCTATAGTTTGTTTATCTTCTCAACTCTGAGAGGCAAATTATCAAGGTTTCTTTTCCATTTCTTAACAAGTCAGTGTGACAGTCTGACCATGGCCGAACTCAGTCTGCCAGATATACTGCCCTTCAGTATGTCTTCCATGCGAAGTAGATGGACATGTGCTAAAAATATAAAAAAGGAAAACAGAGAGTATGAGAGAAACTTTTCCACTGAAACAATTGACTAAGTATAGCTCAATCCTCTCAAATGCGGATCAACTGTTCCCAGAACTGCTCTTACTGTTCCCTATAACCAACCTCCACAACTTCCCTATAAATGAGGAAATGTATCTGAAGCCCAGAACAATAACTGGCTTTGGGATGGTTGGTGTTGCACAACTTTGTCATGATTCCCTTAGCTCTAACTTGAGCATGGCCTTGGGTACAACCATCTGGCCCTGGTCATCATCACTTTGGGGTTAAAGTACTCTTGCCAACCTGCCTTTCCCTCGAGGTGCTGATTGCAAAATATTCCTCTTCTGCTTGAAGAGCTTAGAGTAACTGTAAAGCACGATGTCATACCTTGGCTCTTACAAAAGCTCTAGTTAGTACACAAAGAATCTGTTGGGATTAGGAGTTGAGACAAAAACAAAGTTGTTAAGGCACAACAGACTTGGACACCTACTATGAAACTTTGAGTAAGTTACTTAAACTCCATCTTTGATTAGTTACCTTCTAATGTAGTCTTCATAATGCATGTAGGGTAAAAAATAATTCTTCCTAATTCTGGTATAACTTTGAAGAGTAAGAATAATAAATCCTAACCGCTCAGTTCGATGCTTTTTGCAAATGTCTCTCATGTTTGGGTGAATACACAACATATTTACAGCACAGAGGGGGAGCCATTGTAGTCTTCACGCAAATCGTTATCCCTTCCATATAGCTTTACTATTCTGACCTCTACCCTGAGTTTGGTTTGCTGGTATCTGATCATCATGGTTGGAATAATATAATGTGCACTCTTCTGTGTCTGGTTTCTTTCTTCCATTATTATTTCTAAAACATATGCTAAATTTATGTATAATTTTTTAAAGAAATTGTCAAGCCATTTTCCAGCACAGTTGTCTCATTTATCCTGACACTAGCAATCTATGAGCATTCTATTCCCTTGCCAATTTGGGGCACAATTCATTTTTTTTTAATTCTAGGTATTCTAATAGGTATGTCATGCTCCATCATTATCATGGCAGAAGTATGAGGCCAGCCTAAGCTTTTGACACTTGATGTCTTGGGGAAGATGACTCCCCTATGGTCAAAGGCTATCCCATACATTGTGAAATGTTTAGCAACACTTCAAAATGCAATCCCACTCTCCCAGTATGACACCTCAAAAATGCCTCCGGACATTGCCAACTGTCCATTGGTGGGGGCAGGAAACCTTTGGTTGAGAGCTATTATACGGTGGCAGAAGACTAAAGCCAGAGTTAGATATTTGCTGCCAACACAGTTTGATGTGGCACAGAAGCACCAATTTCTTTTTGGGCATTATTTCAATGTTCTTTGCAAGTTTCATATCTTTCTCATGGAATAATTTCTTCAATGTACAAATAATACCCCAGACACGATAAGGAATGTTTATTTGGATGTCCAATTATTTTCTTAAAAAAGTTTAATACCTGATAAAATAAAACAAAATTTAGTACCATAAAAACTTTCTGACATGTACAATGACATATTATTACTATGTACAACTCCAAACAAATGGTTCCAGCTCCAAGTAAAGGGATGTTGAACAACCTAAGAGTTAAGCTGTAGGAAATTTCATGGATGGCCAGCGTTTTCCTTGGCTTGAAAAAAATCATACAATTAAAAAATATAAATAAGACTTTCATTGAATTGGATCATAAAAATGCTATCTGCAGTTCAGTTGTCTAGATCTTAGGAAGTCTGTAGTAATTATGAAACCCCATGAGTGTTCAAATATCAATCTTCCAGAAGTCCGGTAGTTCACAGTTTGTCTATCAAAAATAAAAGCTATTCCTTCTAGTGGTAGAACTCAGTATACAGTTCATATGCCATTCTTCACCAGCTCATGGACTCCATTCTCATCAATGATTAAAGGGGCATGGAATTCCTTATCTGCCACATAGCTTTCAATTCCCTAAACAAACAAACAAACAAAAAAGATTGAAATGAAATACAGTTAGAAAAGTAGTAAGTGCCTGTCATAAAATGGTAATCCTAGAGTGGTAATAGACTTAAAAGCATGAACATCAAAGATTGGGTTAAGATAATAATTTTAAAAGACAAAAATATTAACATGTGATTAGACTTTATGGTAATTTAGATTGGCATAAAATAAATTGTAAAAAAGGAAGTTACTCTGACTGATGTTAGTCTTCTTTTTATTTTGTTGTTGATGTTGTTTTTAGTGTTAAGAATCAAATCCAGGGCCTTCACCTGCTAGTGAAGAGATTATGATGCCATTCCTAAAGTTAATGACATTTATCTTTTCTATCATCATTGCCTAATTAAGTTCATTTTCTCGCAAGATGATGATCTCTGATACCACAATGGAACAATAATGATAAGCCACTCCAGAAAAAAATACAACAGTTGACACTCTCAAATCCCTGGGTTTTAAATGCAGCATTTTAAGAACAAAATAGGTTCTTTGAAAGTAAATTTTCACAGCACTAAAAGATAATTTATCAAAAAAAGGCAAGGGTGACATATACATATATATATGTATACACATATACATATATGCATATACACACAGACAAACATATACACATATATATTGTTGTTTTGAGTTGTTGGGGTTATTTTGGTAGGGGGTTGGATTTTTTTTAGTGGGGGTGAGGGGGTTGGTGTTTGTGTGTATCCTGGAAACTGGTGTTTGAATTCAGGCCTTTTAATTCAAGGCTGGTGCTCTACCACTTCAGCCACAGCTTAAGTCTTTTTGCCAGTTAACTGGAAAAAGAGTCTCAAGATGTGTCTGCCTAGGCTGGCTTTGAACCATGATCTTCAGATCTCAGCTTTATAAGTAGCTGGGATTATAGGCCTTCACCCCCAGCACTCAGTTGACTATATATATTTAAAGCCTATTGCAATTGAGTAGATAGGTGAAAGGGACAAAGTACTTTACATTTCTGTTAGTGACAACTAACTCACTTACAGGACAGATGCAAAGACCTAGTAGGAATTGTCAAAGAGAAGTATTTAGATGCCTGTCTCAAGCACTCTACCACTTGAGCCAAGTCCCTAGCTATTTTCAGTGTAATTATTTTCTCAGTCTCATTTTTCTTGCTGGGATCAGTCTGGACTGAAATCTTGCTATTGTCTGCCTCCCTTGTAGCTAAAATGATACATGTATGGCATCAAACCCAGATTTTTCATTAAGACTGGGGGTAGCTAGGATTATAGGCATGAGCCACTGTGCCCAGGTAGGTTATTTTCACTGATAAATAACTGTATATATTGATGTTGTTTCAGAAAATGTAAATTGTGATAGAATCCAGTTCATGAACATTTCTTTTTTTTTTTTTTGTCAGTCATGGGGCTTGAACTCTGGGCCTGGGTGCTGCCCCTCAGCTCTTCAGCTCAAGGCAAGCACTCTACCATTTGAATCACATCACCACTTTTGGTTTTCTGGTGGTTTATTGGAGATAAGAGTCTCATGAACTTTCCTGCGGGGGGCTGGCTTTAAACCACTATCCTCAGATCTCAGCTTCCTGAGTAGCTAGGATTACAGGTATGAACCACCAGCACCTGGCTCATGAACATTTCTATCTCTTCAAATACCACTTTTGCGGTGAGAACATATGAAATCAGCCTTTAGCTGCTTAGAAACATAGAATAGTTTGTAAAAAGAATTGGGGGAAAAATAAAGCAACTTACTTCACCAGCATAGGAGATGAGGGGAGAGATTTCACACTGGATGGGCACATCATTGGCATCCTTCAAACTAAGGGGGAAAATACGTTAAGAATTTTGCTTCTCCTACAGTTCTTACCAGAGTAAAGAGACAATAACTTTCTTCTGAGAAGCCTGCAGATAATAAGATTCTTCTAATTAAACAAATGGAATCAATCCTACCCCATTAAGTTAACATAGAATTTTCATAGTCAGAAAACACTATTTGGGGCAATAATTATTACTAATTCTTTACAGCATTTCAACAATATTTATCTATAATGCCCTTACCAAAAAAAAAACAAAAACAAAAAACTTGTTGCCATTTCCAAAAGTTGGACATACCTTGAATACTTTGCATTTCACTACAATCTGACAAGTCAGCCACTAATGTTGAAAAATTCTATTGTATTAATTACTTTGAGCAGCAGGGGTTTCTATTGGCCACTCTACTGGGCCAATGGGTACACATGCTACTCAATATATTTTTTTAATCATTGAAATTTCAAAATCATCTTCTCAATCATAATAATCACATTTCAAGTGATCGATAGCCATCAGTGACTAATGACTACTAAACATCAAACATTTATATACAGAGATAGAGAGAGATAGAAATGATAATGATAAATATTCATTGCAGAAAGTTCCACTAGGCAGTATGGATCTAGCAGTCAGTTACATCATGTGTCAGTAGTTGCTCTTTTTATACAATCCAAATCTCCTAGATTAGCTCAGTTTATCTATTCATGGGATGTTTATAAGTGTTTATGTTACCAAAATTCCCTTTTCAAAGTGCTTAAGCAAGAATACACCCAAATTAAAGTCAAGGGCAAAGTCATCACTTGCCTAATTCTAGGTTATAATCTAATATTTAACAGCCTTTTGAAATTCTTACTTTTTAGATTATCTAACATAATCATCAACAAATAGTGTTTCCAATATATATACAATTCTTGACTGTTGCATTATTTGTCATTTCAAGAATCCTAGCATTAGAAAACGATATAGTACACAAAAACCTAGTCTTTTGCAGCTTCAAGTCACAGGTCTTCTCTTCTTTCCCAAGTACAAAGTCTCAAATGTTTGTGGAACCAATAAAAGCAGAAGGCCTGAGGTTAGTCACAGGCCACTTTCTCCAAGTAGAACAACTCACAGCATTTAAGGCACTCAATATCCTGCCCCAGAATACTTAGTCCTGCTGCATCCAACTCAAACAAGTCCAGACACACTGAATTACCCCAAATCATTTTCAACAATAATCCTTTTGACCATAAAAACTATATATACCTAAGCCAGGCACCATTGGCTCATACCTATAAACCTAATTACTCAGGAGAGACTGAGATCTGAGGATAATGGTCCAAAGCCATCCTAGGCAGGAAAACCATTCCTATCTCCAATTAACCATCAAAACAATTAAGCCGTAAGTGGAGCTGTGGCTCAAGTGGTAGAGAACCAGCTTTGAGCAGAGAAAGCTAAGGAACCATGCCCAGGCCATGTTCAAGCCCCAGTATTGGCACAAAAAAATTTATATATTTCAAATGTGTCAGAAGCAGTTGATCTTTATACTGACAGCACATAATTCAATTAAGTAAGAATTGAATGCTGTTTTCATTGAGCCTCTTGCTTTTGCTAATAGGTGCAAGCTGGGATCCACATTTAACCTCCCTGGCCTATAACCTGCCCTGGATTTTAGATAACACCTACAAATTTGTCACTGTGGGCCCAAACACCCATGGTCAGATTCTTTAGTAATGCATGCTCCCCACTTCCAGCATGCATTGAGATTCGGAGTTAGTGTCACCAGACAGATACCTGCCACCAAGTAAGCAATGCACCCCCACCAAAGCTTCAATCATCCTCCCTGCAGACCCCAAAATGCAGAGCACTAAACTACAATGCCAGTTAGTATGGAGAAAGCACAGCCCCATCACCATGCACTGCCGGCAGGCTGGTATATTTACTTTTGATTGACATCAGCTCTGATGGTCTCTGACCTTCCATTTGAAGCACTGCTATGTAGGAATAAATAAACATTAATGGGAATGGAAACAAACCAAATAATAAACACACTTGACTGATGACATGTCAAACTTAATCATAAGTTTGACCCAAGAGACCTGATGCTGTAACAAAACCAACTCAATGCTCTCAAAACTAAAGCAGAAGAACAATGGGACATGCCATGGAACAAGCTTGCTGACAATGGACAGCCCACCCAAAGAGCAGGCTGAGAGCCTGAGAGCCACGCTGACATTTGCTCCTTGTGAAGCCGTGTGGCACATTCAGCTCTAAGGCCCAATGGGTCCACATCTGGTGAGGCAGTCATGCTTTTGTGTATGCAGCCTGCAGTTTTCTCCTGTAAGAATGAAAACTGCATGGCAGAATGCTTTCTGTCTGCGTACATAAACACTTAACCTTTTCATCATAAAACATAAGAGTTAGCTTAAAAAATCCTTTATTTCAGATTTGTACAGTTTTGTTTTTAGCTTCTGAAATCCAAACCATTTCTAAAGTTCGTAGATAGATGAGTACAGCTGGCATTCATTAGGGCATGCCACGGCTGGAACAGAGGTGGGCCTCACCTCATCAGGCACTGGGTGCCTCCCATGTACAACCCTCATAGCTGAGGAACTTTCCCTGTGCTAGAGCTTTAGCCACACAACACATCAAAATCACTACTTTCTGACCATTATTTAGAAGGAATGACTTCACTGATCTATGAATATATTTCCAAAACAAAACTATAGAGACTTAAAAAGAGATTCCTCTTCAATGGACAGTAAAGTTATTATTCTCTTTGTAATGGGCAAAACTGGATATTTCACATCAAGCACTGCCCATACACTTTGCTTTTTAAAAATTTATTTAGGGATATTTAAGAGAAGAGGAAGAGTCCAAGTAAGCATTCAGACAAAAGAGAAAAGATGCAGACTTACCGGGGAATTGCTGGAAGACGAGAGCCATTTTCATCTATGAAGTGGCCCCCAGCATTGAGGACCCAGCAATGGTGAAGGGACATCAAGGCATGCCTGGCGGTCGTAGGGTTGTCCTTCCCATTCTGGCTGTCTGCATTCTTCAGTGGGGAAAACTCATCTTCCCGCAATACTTCATACACCACAAACTTCCTGCCGTGAAACCATATGAAGATTTCATTCTTAAATAAGATTGCAGAAGCTGGGTGCCATTGGCTCAGATCCGTAATCCTACCTACTCAGGAGGCTGAATAAGATCTGAGGTTCACAGTTAGAAGCCAGCTTGGGCAGGAAAATCCAGGAGAATCTTATCTCTAAATAACCAGCAAAAAGCTGGAAGTGGAGCTCTGACTCAAGTGGTAGAACAAAAGAGCTGAAAGATAGCTCCCATGTCCCCAGTCCAAGCCCCAGTATTGGCAATAAATAGATAAATAAATCAATAAATAAACTGTATCACAGCTTCTTTCAAATTAACTAAACTTGGTTATTTACTGCTACATTTTCTTCACCTTGTTCCAAACAAATGACAAAATAATGCTCATCCCTGGTTCAAAGAAAGTAGGAATTTTTGTCTCCAGTATAAAATTAAAACCATCACTCTCACTCTCCAACTAAAAATACTTCATTTTAGAGCAGAAACGTTCAAGATTTTATTGCATAAAGATCATACTATCAGTTATATACAGGGAGAATGATCGTATATAGCTAATCTATCTTCTGTATTTCAAATTGATCATATTCCGAAACATGTATCTTACATCAAATGAGACATTTATAGAGATCTACATAAGCCATACAATACGTTCACTGAAACAGGTACATAGAGGAGATATATTTTAAACACCAAGTAGGTTAACTGTTCATCTTTGTCTTCTGCTTTTAGTTTCTTAGCCAAAAATAAAAGTTTGGCAAATTAGTTGATAAAAAGAAACCCATATTCCCAGGAACCTCAGAACATACACTCATGGGGCAATGGTTTTATACTAGAGAATGATAATATATAGAGAGTACATGCTCACAATCAGATTGACTATGAACTATGTACTCTCAACCTTTTCCTGCTAGAGGTATGACTTACCAGGTATGACTGGTAAGTGCAAGGCCTTGAGTTCAGACCACAGCACCACCAAAAATAGAGATGATAAAAGAGAGAGAATGGGATTTTTAAAAATTTCCTCAGAACAGTTCCCTGCCTTAGAGAGAAAAAAGCTACATTTCAAGACATATATTTAATCTTACTGCTGCAATTCAAAGCATACTTTGCAAACTGGAAGATGTCAAAGACAAATTTTTCCATCTTTATTCCATTTGGTTTGTCTGGCTTAATTAACTGCCCCTGGGAATCCACATATGGAATCTTCTTTTGTGCCACATGGTGCTGCAATTGAGGTTCATACACACTACAAAGTAAAGGAGAAAAGACAGAATCACTTTCCAGATTTAAAATGTCATTTAAAAAATTGATAACAACCAGGCACAAAACAACAACTATCAGTATTAAGATTTTGAAGTGAAGAATACTTAAGTTTCAGTTCATATTTAAATATAAAAGAATATATCTCCTCCTTCCACTTCCTTACATTTAAAGAAAAATCAAGTGATTTCATATTAAAAAGTAAGCAGAAAGTTGGACATCACTACAGTATATGCCTATAATATTGGGGGGGGGGGGAGGGTGATGCAAGTGGCACATGTCAGTCTGGGATACATAGTAAGATTCTGTATCAAAAAGTAAATATAGGGGCTGGGAAGGTGGCTCAGTGGTAGAGTGCTTGCCTTGCATGCATGAGGCCCTGGGTTAGATTCCTCAGCACCACATAAGCAAAAAGAAAAAAGCCGGAAGTGGCGCTGTGGCTCAAGTGGTAGAGCGCTATCCTTGAGCTGAAAAGCTGAGGGACAGCGCCCAGGCCCAGAGTTCAGGCCCCACGACCGGACCAAAAAAAAAAAAAAAAAAAAGTAAATATATTAGAAAAGCACATCCATGTACTCACACTCTCTCTCTCTCTCTCTCACACACACACACACACACACACACACACACACACACACACATCTTATACCAATGCCTCTTCCATTATTTCTATCTTTTATAAAATGTTCACTCTGCGCTAACTCTGAGTACATTATGCAAGGTGAGTATTAAAAACTACTAAGATGAATTAATACAAACATTAACCTGATTTCATCAGTTTACAACATGTATGTGTACTCACAAATCACAATGTACCCAATAAACATATGCAAGTATTACATGCTAATTAAAAATAAAAACAAAAGATCAGGTATAGTGCCTCAGATTTATAATCCTAGCTACTTGGGAGATAAAGAGCAGGAAAAGACCAACCCAGACCAAAAACTCAGCAAGACCTCCTCTCAACCAATAGCTAGGCATGGTGACATAGACCAGCCATCTCACCTAGGTGGTGAACATACATAGGAGGCTTGAGGTCCACATAGCAAGTGGGCAAAAACATGAGTCCGTATCCAAAAACAGTAAAACAAAAAGGGTTGAGAGCATGGCTCAAATGGTATAGTGCCTGCCTAGCAAGCCTTTGGCCCTAAACTAATGAACCAATTAAACAAATCTCAGTATCTTAAAAAAAAAAAAAAAAGTAGATAATCATTTTGAATTGTCTGAAAACTATCACGTGAATCTAATAGTGAAAATGTCCTTTAAAATCCTGTGAGATAAAACAGTCCTTATTTTATACGTGGTGTTACTGCCATGCTGATTTTCATCCAAGTCTCAAGCGCTTCTTTCTTTACTCTCCTTTCATGCACTCAATTCCAAATGTTAGTGTTAGAACCAACTCAATTAGAATGATATGGGAAGCTGTTTTAAAACTGAGATGCAATCCAGAAATACTGATTCTGCTCCTAGAAGGCAGACTTGGCTCTCCATTGTAGTCAACAGTTTTATTTCTTCTTCTTTGATTCAACAGAACATAGTGCACAGCTAAGGGGCTGGGAACAAGGCAATGCCTTGGACTCCAGTTAATACACTGGGAGGGATTTCTACCAAGGTCCCACCGTATGCTTTATCTGACTAAAAACATCACAATGTTTTTACTTTACATTCCCTCTTATAAAAGTGATCTGGGTGAGTGGGGGAAGGGGAGTGGAAAGGTGAATGCTGTGGGACTAGAATATCCATCTACAGAGGCTTAATTTGCAACAATAACAATGTCTCAACAGCCCAATCTTGTCCATACTTGACCACGTCTCTCAGAAATGGAACAGTGAAGAAGTGATTGGCAATGTTCCCCGCGTTGAATACCAGTCGTCCATCTGAGCTTCGTTTCTGAGCTGTTGCTAGAGAAATCTCGCTGTATTCCACCACCTGGTACACTCCATCCACTCGGCAAACCACTCCAACTGGCTCTGTAGGGTTCGTTTTCTCTACCACCTGGACAGCAGAAAAAGATAACAGAAGAGGAAGAAACGTTATAGAATGACCCTTTGGAGATCTGAAGATTTGCCTTATCAAAGACCACATTTTTCATTTTGCTTACATTGTCTTTAAAGAACTGAGAAAATAGTTTAACTTTAGATACATCAACCATCTATCTTGACATTCATTGACAGGCTACTTTCCAAGTGGAAATGAAGAACATTATCTCCTTCCTATTTATCATTTCACCAAACCAGAGCAGAAATACCTTGATCTGTACACAGCCCAGCGGAAACTGTGTAAAACTAGAAGTACTTGAAGAGTCCGTATCTCCCAAAAACTATATTTTTATAATATTCAATTTAGTTCAATTATATTTGAATGATTTGAGAACAAATTATATTTCTCCAAGATTCATAAGACAGAACACATAAGGAGTACATTTTGCATTTCATTTTATAATCTCCATCTCATTACAACATTGGGGCTGATGTTCAATTTTTCAATTAAGAATACAGTATTTTTCTAACTAGAAGAATCTTGTATAGGAGTTAGGAGTGTTAAAGCCAGCAAGTCATTGGGCTCCCACTCCAACTGTACTCAAACAAAAAATCCATTTTGGATACTAGATTTTCTTTGAAGTTAGACATTCTGTGTTTTTTAAGAGCTTTGAAAAACTCTTAAGTTTTATCATTTTACATATGAGGAGCTGCAAGAAAAGAATGTATAAATCAGAGGCAAAAGGCCTGAGTAGGTAATTAAAAATACCAAAAATTCACAAGTGATTCTGATATCTAACCCCAGTATCACTGACCCAAGTTAAATACTTAGAGGAAAATTATGAAAGAACTATACACAATGCATTATTATCAAAGCAACATGAAATGAATACCCACACAAGAAGCCAACAATAAAGAATATCTCAAAAAACTGTTTTGATTAATTAATTCAACATGTTTTCATGTCTTTTTTAAAAACCAGTCCCTAGTTTGAAAATTGTATCTGAAGTATATATGAAATTGTACCAACAAACTTACAACTTTTCTTCAGCAACTGATTTCTCAACTAAAGCCAGTCTCAACTAAAGCCACTATTGAGAATTTCATTTACACAGCAATTAGATACAGGCACTAAGTCCGGCTCTGGAGACAGGGCTACAGGGTTCCCTAGCTCCTGTGGAGCTGTGATGTTTACCACACTGAAAGGAGTACAGTATTCAATGAAACTTATTGAGTTTAGGGACAGTGCCCAGGCCCAGAGTTCAAGACCCACAACCAAAGAAAGAACAAAAGAATGGAAGGAAGGAACGAAGGAAGGAAGGAAAAAAAGAAGGAAGGAAGGAAGGAATTTTTCTACCAAGTAAATCGAGGCAACTGGAGGAAACATAAAATGAAACAACTTCAACTTGTTTACACTTCCTGTCTGTCAAGCTAGCATCATCTCTCACTGCATACAACTCCACAATGGGTGTGTTACCAGGTGGGGGATTTTGGAACAGCTTCCTCTCATTGACATCTTTTTTAAAACAATGTTCACAAATCTCATTTTCCAATCCTATTTCCCTCTACTCTCAACCAACCAGAAAAAATAAAAATAAGCATATTTACATTGCACATTTTCTAAATGTTAATCTGCAGGTGGTCTGTGACAACTATTAATCTCCCAATCTTATTAAAGTCTACATTACCGAAGAAAGCATTTGTAAACTGCAAAAAGTTAGAAATCAGTCTATATTATACAAAAAAGATGCACAGTATAAAATTAAGAAGTCAATATTCTGTAAATTGAATTCTAAGATACCAAGAACCTAAGGTACTAAAGTTATTGAAACTGCTTTGCAAAATGATGTCTGTTAACAATACTACCTGCCTTTGTAGTTCTGTGTTTTCTAAACTACCTCCACTCTTTCAGTTTTTTCTCAAGGCTCTAACTCAATTAGAGAAAGAAAAAAAAAACCTCATACATCAAGACGGGAGGCTTATTGAGTAAGTACTGCAAATTATTTTACTACCACACTATAAATCACTCACTAAATCGGATATTTTAAAATATGTGTTTTAACACTTTCATTTTCTCATTCAATAAAAGGAGAGTTAGTATGGGGAGTACACACCTGTAATCTCAGCGAGGATCATGAATTAGACCTGGGATTACATAGGCCAGGCTAGCCTGGGCTATATAGTGAGACTCTATTTCAAACAAAAGGGGTGACGAAGGCAAGTGAATGTTTTCTGATGTTTCTAAAAGTTTTTTTTTTTTTTAACACATTATCAGTCTAATGATATTTTTGGTTACATCTGAATGTTAATTTGTTCATTAGCTGAAGAAATAAATGCCTGACATAGGACTAAGCAATGAGTAGGCAAGGAATATAGAAGCTGGATTTATCCTAGAGAGGCGAGCGAGTGCTGGGGAAGAATGACCAGTTAACCCTCGTGTCTCTGTGTGATTATACACTCACAACAGTTAGCACAGTAGTTTAAAGTTGTTTTGAGCTGCCCAAGAAATCATAACTGTAGTAGTTTATAATGTGACATAACAAAGTAAGAGCTGAGAAAGTAAATTCAATTCCTGACTCTGCTAAGAACACAGATACATTTAAGTTCAATCTGACATTGATAGTAGAAAAAAAACATGTTTCTATTTAAGAAGAGTGATACCAAGTGGAATAGTCAGAAATACATTTTAGTTTTGTTAGCTCTAGTAGTTCTTTATAATCCAATGTATTTTATTAGTTTCTATGTGTTTGATTAGACAGGTAGTCTTAAATAGATTAACTAAACCAGTTCTTTTTTTTTTTTTCAGTTAGAGGGGTATCATAAGATTTCAAAATTCAGTCTCTCAAAACATTAATGGTAAATTAAAGATTGCAAATTCTGGACACATTTGTGCATTAGATTTGTAAATTAAGTTAGAGAGAAATTACATTTTTCTATTGTGAAAATACCATACAGAGGGGTTACAATTACATGGGCAAGGTAATGAGTACATTTCTATTTTTTTTTTTTTTTTTGGTCGGTCGTGGGGCTTGAACTCTGGACTTGGGCGCTGTCCCTGCGCTCTTCAGCTCAAAGCAAGCGCTCTACCACTTGAGCCACAGCACCATTTCCAATGAGTACATTTCTTATCAAGTATCATTGCCTCCTCCTTTGTTTCCCCTTCCCATCCCTTCCCATCCCCCTCAACACGTCCCCCTTCCCCGCTTACCGCCCCCCCAACAAAGTTGTAAAGTTCATTTTTCAACATAATCTCATTGTTGCAATGGGTCCACCTGTATCTCTATTTAAACAATTTGTTTTTTCCCTTCCCCTCCACAAATTATACCAACATCAAATACAGTGAAAACAGAGATGCCCCTCAGTAGATGAATGGATCAAGAAAATGTGGTATATATACACAATGGAATTCTATGGTTCCATCAGAAAGAATGACATTGCCTCATTTGTTAGGAAATGGAAAGATTTGGAAAAAATTCTATTAAGTGAAGTAAGCCAGGCCCAAAGAAACATAGGTCCCATGGTTTCCCTTATTTGCAATAACTAGTATATGTCTGAGACAAGCAGAAATGGTCAGATAAGTTGTTGTTAGGCGAAATGAATCCCAAGATAAGGATTCAAATATTTTTTCTTTCTTGCAATTGTTTCTAACATATTTATAAGAAATTACATTATTATAACAGAAAATCCCCAAGAATATGTAATGTCCCTTATGGAAGATTTTTCTTTTAAATTCAGATATTTCAAATTTTGTTCTCTTGTGGTATTTAGAGATTGAACCAAGGTCTGGGGTGAGTCTTCCACCACTGAGCTACATACATCCCCAGCCGTGGATATTTTAAACTTCTATGTAGTCTCAATTTTCTTGGTCAGAAGACTATATTGTTTCTACTTTTGGTAGAAAAAATTTCCTTGCACACGAAAATTATTAAATTATTATGAATTTTCTTCTAACACTTGTATGGTTGCATTCTTTGTGCTTAATTTTCTAATCCATTTGCTAGAGATTTTGGTATGAGCTTTGGGAAAGAGATTACTTTTAGCTAGTTATCTCATTACATTATTAAATTATCTAATCATTTAAATGCTCTAAAATGATTTTAAATGCCATGATATATTTACATATTAATGTTTCAATTTATTTTACATTTTTAAATTATTATTTTAATAAGGATTGGTTATTAAATAAGTACTACAAAGAATTTTACTACCATAGTATGTTCCCTCCCTAATTATTAGTCTCTGAAATATATAATACCTTGTTTTTCTTATTTAAATGGGATAGATTAGCCAGGAGGTGGTACACATTTGTAACTACTTGGGAGGCAGAGTGAGGAGGATCTTGAGTTCAAGGCCAGAGTACAACACACAGCAAGTACTAGGTCAGCCCAAGTTCATTTTGTATATATTTATCAGGCATAGTGTGATTAATCAGTACATAGACAGAATGTGTAGTGATCAAAGCAGAGTAGTTGGCCTTTCCATCTCCTTAATATTAAAAAATAATTAAGATATAATCATTGTACATATGTGTACTGATCAAGTTAGGGCAACTAATCAAGCTATGCTAATTATTACTCAAAAGTGTGGGTAAAGATACACAGAAATGAAACCTTTTGCACACTTGATTGGTGGGAATGTAAACTGCTTACAGAAAAATATGGAGATTCCTCATAAAAATTAAAATAGAATTACCATATGATCCAGCTAGCCCACTTCTGAGTATAAAGCCAAAGGAACTGAAGTTCGCATACAGAGATCTGTTATCATGTTTGCTGCTGCCCTATTCACAATAGCTAAATATGCAATCAATTTAGATGTCTACAATGGGTGAATAATATGTGTTTATGTGTCACTATATTATGTGTATACATATCTACATATAAATAAGGATCTTATATCATTTATAGCAAAACGGATAGACCTGAAGGATATTACAGTAAGCAAAATAAGTCAGACACAGAAAGATAACACGTTTTCTCTCTTATGTGAATGCTAAAAAGTCTATTTGAATGCAAAATAGTGATCATTATAGAGTGGGATGGGGCAAAGGGGAGAGGGGAAAGAAGCTAGATAATGAGTTCTACCACACAGATAGGGGAGATAAGCTTTGGTACTTTAATGCACAGTGGAGTGATTACTGCTTATAATGTCTTATTATTTGTTTGATGAGCAAGTAGAACCTTTGTTCTACTTTGGAGATGCCTTACTGCCATACTTTTATGAATACTACACACATTTCTGTTACTGACCAATGTATTACTGAGACTATATCATTCTGTTCTGATTCCAATAGCATACTCCTAGTTGCTTTCTATTTATAATCATTGGAACGATTGTCCCTTTTCTTCCTTTCCTTGTCATCATCCTTTTTCAATACCTTCTTAGTCATCTTTCCACATTTTCTAGACTTTGTAATCATCTTGTCGAATGTTTCCAAAATAGTCTCATTGGGGGGGCTGGGAAGGTGGCTTAGTGGTAGAGCACTTGCCTTGCATGCATGAGGCCCTGGGTTCGATTCCTCAGCACCACATAAGCAAAAAGAAAAAAGCCAGAAGTGGTGCTGTGGCTCAAGTGGTAGAGCGCTAGCCTTGAGCTGAAGAGCTGAGGGACAGCGCCCAGGCCCAGAGTTCAGGTCCCACAACCGGACCCCCCCCCCCAAAAAAGAGTCTCATTGGGCTTTTGATTGTGATTGTATCATACTTTATTTGATAATAGGGGATACATTTAAAGACTTCCAGAAAAGCAATGTTTATATCAATACTTTCAATCTCTGGAACATTTTTAAGAGTTTGCATGTTCCCTGTGTTTTATTCCCAGCTAAATTATATTGTCTGCTTCCACAAAGGAATGCCTCCTATACTATCAAACTATGCAAAGATGTTGAAAAGAACAAGGTCAAAAAGTGAGTCTCATAATACCCAACATTATAACCTCCCTGCATTGTAACAGCAGTGTGCTTGTGAACATTCCAACAGAAGTTAATTACTTTAACTGTCCTGCATATTTCTCTTATTCACAAGAATATCATATCTTGTGAGTGCATTACTGATACTGGCTAAATCTGTTATTTCTTACGATATTTCTAGTCACTCCAGGAACTTTGTGATAAGCAGTAGGTTCATCTGCTTGAACACAACCTGCTATGAATGATCCCATTCCAATGACACTCATTCAGTCTGAGCATCTACAAACACTCATACTTTATACTTAACTTGTGACTACAAGCAAGCACTAAAGAGAAAAAGAAGAGTGGAACAGTTCAGGTACTTTAGAAGGCTGAATGGCTCAAAAATACTCAAATTATTTCGACAATGCTAGTTTGACTCCTGGAATGTTTGTATGGACACAGATCATTTAAAGTCTCACTGGAGTTGAAAAGACATTACCTTTGCCCCACAGTCGGCTCCTTTCTGAATACAAAATCCAATGAATCGTGGATCTGCAACCTTTACCAATATGTTGTCCACACAATAGACATGAATGCTCCAAATGCCTCTTTGCTCCATATCCTCAACAATGTTCTGGGCTGCAAGAGCCCGATAGAGACCACCATTTCCATCTGGAAAATAAAACAGCCCTTAACTAGCACAGCAAAAACCTATTGAGGGTAACCTGATGTTTCCAAATTGAGATGATGTTCTCTGAGAAACAGTTTTGTATTGAACCAAGAAAACTTAATATCCATAAGGATATTCAAGTGTCAAAAAAGTGTGTATGAAGCCAGGTGCTGCTGTCTCATGCTTGTAATCCTAGCTACTCAGAAGGCTGAGATTTGAGGATCGCAGTTCAAAGCTGCCTGGGCAGGAAAGTCCGTGAAACTCTTATCTCCAAAAAACCATCAGAAAACCGGAAGTGGTGCTGTGGCTCAGTGGTAGAGTGCTTGCCTTGAGTTGAGAGCTGAGGGACAGCAACTCAGGCCCAGAATTCAAGCCTCACGACCGACAAAAGAAAATAAAAAAAGTGTGTATGATGTTCAGTTAGCTAAGCTAAAGAGAACAGAATAACATTACTAACATTACTAATACAGAACCAGGCAACCCTAAAGACTAAATATTTATTTTTAGCTCAGCTTCTTTTAAATACTTAGCCCATAATACATTGTGCAGTGTAAAATTATTTATCAAGCAATGATTATTTCATTAAAGTTTTATTAATATTTATACAATTCAAATCAGCTCTATATTTATAGGCCCCAAACTGACAGTCTCACCTATTTTAAAAATAAGAAGACATGAGTATTTTATACTAAGAATAGTAAACTAAAAGAAGAGGCAGTCACGTGTGGCTCAAAGTGATAGAGCACTAGCCTTGAGACAAAAAGCTCAGGGACAGCACTCAGGCCTGGTGCTTGGTGGCTCACCCCTTTAATCCTAGCTGTTCAGGAGGCTGAGATCATCTGAGGATTGTGGTTCAAAGCCATCCCAGGCAGGAAGGTCCCTGAGACTCTCACCTCCAATTAACCATTAGAATACTGGAAGTGGCGCTGTGACTTAAAAGTAGAAAAGTACTAGCTTTCAGCAAAAGAGCTCAGGGGCAGCCCTCAGGCCCTGAGTTCAAGCCCTAGACCAAAATAAATAAATAAATAAACAATAAAATTTTAATTAATTAATTAAAAAGAAGGTATTTATAAAGGAATTAAGCTGAAATAACAGCCTAGATTTGGAGAGCACCACTGTTAATATTACTGTTCTTCCTTTTTAGTCTTTCTTCTAGGTGCAGAGTCACACAGATATGCCTATGTCAACAGGTTTATTTTTGTAGTTGAGATCCTATCGGTTTCACTGTATGTGGATATACAAACAGCAGGCTCCCCAGTTCCAGTGGGGGCCATTAACAACCTACAATGCATGTGATCTTCCTGGAACCATGCAAAGCAGTGCCCCTAATCATAGCATAAAGTTCTGAACTTGTGCTCTCTCTACCTACTGAAATTATTTCTCTGTTCTATTTAATGTCACTACACAATTCTTTTTATTCTTTAAAAAATGAAAAGAATTTGTAAGAATTTTTCATTTTCAAACTGTAATTTAGCCTTTTTTTCTCTCCTTTTTTGCTGTGCGAGGCAAGGGAACCCAGGGCTTTACATACACTGGCCAAGACTCTCACTAACTAAATAATAGATATTTTCTAATTTTGTACTATGTATAATAAATAAGGTAGTCATAGACACTGCTGCAAATATAAAATACTGGGAGAAGAGAGTGAGTATCTTGAATGCTATCTAGGACAGACATCTATTTAAAAAAAAAAGGAAAGAAAAAAATTCTTCTGCTCCATCAATGGATAGTTGCAGCTTTTAAAATCGTTGGTAAGTTGCAAAAAAATAAAAAATATTCATTTTTTGAACATCCAAATTGCCCATGCTAAAAAGAACATTTTTAAAAAGTAATAGTAATAATCATTACTATTTTTAGCCACCATTAAATAAGAATGATTGCAAACCTGGAGCCATAGAGACTTTATTTTTCTCTTCCAAAATTATTTTCCCATCAAAACTCATAGCAGGCAGCATTCCCTGCTGAAAAAAGATCACATTTTCTTTGTTCAAACCAAAGTACTTGTGCTTTGTGAAGAACTCCTTCGTAGATTCCATTGTTCTGCCACTGGTCATTATGTACCTTGCAAAAGAAAAATAGATTTCCTAAGCAATAGTGTTATGTGAATTAGGGCAAAGTAAAGTGTCATCTATTTCCTAAGCTAATGAATAGCTATGAGAGCATTTGTTTATTTTGACTTCCTTCATCTTTTTCTTGGAGAAGACACATTCATTAGCTGCTACTTATGGGAAATTTCTTTTAGCAAAATTGATGAAATCAATTCTGATATATAAAATAAATATAACAGAACTAACCATGTCCTGTAGCATAGAACCTATAACTGGCTTAAGTAAACATGTGGAATATTGTCACAGTATATTCTACATTTGTAACTTTTACTCTAAATAGACAAAATGGAGAACTGTGATATAATAATCACTGACATACATAATGATGTCAGTGATTCTCTTGATAAAAAATTGAAATAGAATCTAAACTCTGTTCACCATTCATTAACAATCTCAAAAGAATATACATGCTTTGTCTCAAAAATTTAATTCATACTGGTATGACAAAGGAGAAAACCACAATTAGAAGGCAGGTGCTGGCGGCTCATGACATAATCTTAGCTTTTCAAGAGGCTGAGGCCTGAGGATCTTGGTCTGAAGCCAGTATGGGCAGAAAAGTCCTTGAGACTCAAATCCAATAAAAAACCAAAATGCCAGAAGTAGAGTTGTAGCTCAAGGCTCAAGTGGTAGAGCACCAATCTTAGCAAAAAGCCAAGCAAGAGCACAAGGCCTTGAGTTCAGGCCTCAGTACCATCATGGAATTAACTAAATAACACAGTTAGAAACTTCAGTAAGAATGTTGCCTTACTAGAACATAAACTACATGTAAGTAGAGATTTTTGTCCAGCATAGTTAATATAACATTTAGTATCAGGCACTCAACTACTAGTTGATGAATGAAAGAAGAATATGAAAAATAGTAAACAAAAAGAAGTATGGTTTTCTATTATAGCAGATATGTCTATTTAACAAATCTGAGTATTTTAAACTTTGTGTTCAAAATATAGCAGATACATCTACTTAACAAATCTTTCTGGGTATTCTGAACTTTGAGCATAATTTAGAAAATGACAAAAGATATTGCCAAATTTCTCTCTATTAAAAAAAATAGAAATTCTAGTCTTGAAGAGACTTGAGAAAGAGAAGAAAAATCCAACAGGATAGTAGGAAGCCAGGGTTGACAGAAGAATGCTGGCTGTTTACAACACAGTTGTCCCTCAACAATCTCATGAGAATCAAGATGAAAAAACAGTTCCCAGTAGGATAGTATTTGTTTTGAAAAGAGCTAGAAAAGCTGGGGGGGAAATACCAAAACAAAAAACAAAAAAGGATATCTTCAAAGGAATCAGAGAGTTCCAGAAGCAATATGGATTACAACTAAAGTCCCAAGGAGGAAGAATCTTTCAAAGAGGAATTAAGGATCTCTAGCTGTCTTGACCTGAGAGTATTTTCTGATCTGGGACAGACTACTGGTGAAGAATCTGCACTCCTCGGACCACAGCTGCAGAGAAGAAAGGCACAGACCTCTCATTGGCCACGTAGGAATGAAATAACAAGATTGGGGACTTGAGACCGTAGGACACACACAGCTGGTTTCCCCCTCAAAACATACTAACTTCCAAAACTGCTCTGTGTAAGGGATGAAAAAACTAAACCAAATACTCTTTAAAAACACAGCAGAATTTCCTGTGATCTCTTGGTGCTTAAGAGACAAATACTGTCCAAAGTAGAAGTCCTGAGAACATAGCACACAAGTAGAAGCTAACACATTTGACCCATAGAGGAAAAAAATCAGCATAGCTTTTGTCTGATGTGTCTGTAATGGCAATGGGACAAAAACTAGATAATCTGGTTCTTAGGGACACAAGTTGTTTGACTGAGAAAGCCCATGGGGCACCCAGAGCAGTGGCTAATAACAGACCACATCATCCTGAACATTTGGATACTAAAGATAAGAAAGAATCCCAAATGCTTTCTCAGAGTAAGAAAAAAAAAGTATTACAAATCAGGATGGCATTAAACATATCAACAACAATGCTAGATATCAGAGATCAACATCTTCTAATTTCAGAAGAAAGCTGATTTTCAATCAGCAATTTAATTCATAGTACATTCAGTAGAACTAAGTCTACTGAGTACCTACAAGTACTGTTAAAGATACTTACAGATGTAAAAGTTAGAGATGAGTGTATATTGCTTAAGCCATCTCTATAGCTATTATATAATATATATTGTATATTATATACAATATATAATATATAACATAATATATAACATGCACATATATAATACATAGTAAATTTTAACTCCTAAGGAAATCAGCAAAAATAGGAAATATATTAGGGTTGGAGGCATGGCTCATTTGATATGGCAACTGCCAAAGAGCATAAAGCATAAGACGGCAAAAGAAATAAAAGGAGAGAAAATCATGTCACCTTATCAATGCACTTTGAATATTATAAAACAATCAATGTTCAAACACTCCCATAAAACATCTTACCATGGAATGATGCATTTGTTGCCGCAACATTTTTCAGCTAACTGCTGTAGTTTCAAGATACGTTCGGCTTGAATTTGAAAAAGTGTCTTATGGGATGGCAAACCAACATCATACATCCCCTTGGGATATGCAACTCCAAGTCTTGTCCCCTGCCCACCAGCTAGAAGAAGAACTGCCACTTTGTTCTGAGAAATCTGGGAAAGTCCTAGAAAAAAAAAAAGTGTCACAAAACATATACAAACATACAAAGATATAAGCATAGACTCACCTATCTGCATGAGGTAAGAGAATAAAGAATCTTATTCTCATGGATAGCTATCATTTCAATAAAACCACTTTTATCATCAAAGCGATTAAATTTATATACTATAATGAATAAAACACTTTTTTAATGAAAGCATCAGGAATCAAGGACTAAGGACTGCTACAAAGGTTTTGCAAGAACTTGGCTACTTTCTGGTTGTGCTAAGAAGAAAGGATAAAAGAAAGTGCCAAGGTTCCAAAGTCAATGAAGATGCTACTAAAATTACTCCCAGCCTATAACCGATAAACACACAAATAGACTAGGCAAACTATCACACCATAAACATAAAGGAAAGAAACTTTCAGCCAGGAAAGAATAAGTACAGCATAATAGCTAAGAAACAGTCTCAGAGGATACCTGGCCTGAAACCCAGCTTAACTCATTGTTTCAAGAGTCATCCATAGGCTAGGAAATTGTGTAGGGTGTTGGAAGTGTTCTAATTCTTGACTAGGGAAGTAGTTATATTTGTATATACATTTGCATTTTATTGTATTTAATTATACCTCAGTAATATTTGTAAAAAATTCCTTCTTTTTCTTTCTTTTTATTATTGTCTTTAAGCAGTTATTCAAAGGAATTGCCATTCTTAATCAATAGGTCAATCTACGGCAGCTCAGAAGAAAATAAAACTCTGAGTCTTTTCACTATTGATTTACTTCTGTATGGAACCCATCAGTTTTCATCAACTGAATACTCAGCAGCAAGTAGTGATCAAACACAATGCTTGAATAAAAATGTTAATCTTTGTACATTGTACACATGTATGGAAATGTCACAATGAAATCCCCCCTTGTATATTTAATGTATGTTAATTTAAAAATAAAATAAAATACATTTTATTCTCTGGACAAAAATAAAGATGGATTTAAGATCTAAATGCAAATACACACACATATGGATAAATATTTGCTTTTGGGGATATATATATATCTACATATCCATATATATATCTATATATATGGATATGTAGATATATATATACTCTAATAGCTATTAAAAGACTGAGGTTCTCCATCTAGATTATTTAAAATAATACCAAAATCTTGCTAGATCTCCTATCTAAAGCCTATATTTATCACTCAAAGATGGACAATCTCAGCACCAGAAGGCAGAGAACCTTGGAAGGAAAAGACTGCATGAACTTGTGTCTCTGCAAGCAAGAAAAACTTTAAGAAGCGAAGTAAGATTAAAACAAACATTGATGGCTTTGCTCTAGTTTTAGAGCAAAGCTGCTTTCTAGAACTTCATAGTGTTATTAAAATTTTTAAGAATTCTGTAGATAAACCTAGGCACTGGGCCATAATTACAGGTCAAGCCTAAAATCACACCAAGGGGGATAAATGTGGTTCATAAATAGCCTCATTCAGGTCACATTTTATTGTGAACCAATTTTGCATCATTGCAGAACTGCAAATAGAAAACTGCTGCCCCACAGCCCTGAATTAGAAAGATTTCTGAACATCTTGTTTTCAAGTTCCAGACACCTATTTTGGACATAGATCTTTGATCTTTTTGTTCTTACAGTCTCCTTACGTGGCCCGTTGTACATTAGATTGCTTTCAGTTATCACAACTCTTGCCATTCTTCCTAACCTTTTCCTTTTACTCTCAGTTCAAAGCTACTGCCTACAGGCAGCTTCAGCCCCTGCTCGCCTGGATTCCAGCCACACCAATCTACTGTTCACTTCCAACCATTTCACAAAACAACTCTGAAGAAACTTCTTTTCCTTGGATCACTTCCCCAAACTATTGCTCCATCCCAAGTTTCTAATTTTTTCAGTTGTAAAATGTTGCAAATCAGAAGCTTATAGAGGCCTCATCCTTTATTCACATGTGTTTTGTTTTGTCTTTTCCCCAAAGCTGGATTGCCAAGCTTTCTTCCACTCTTTTATCTGTGGGCCAGATAACCAATCTGGTCACTTCATAACTGGTATTGACATGCTTTCCAAAACAACATACATTTACCTCTCCTCTTCCTGAAACAACTATTATAATGAATTCTAACATAATCCATGTGCATTTGGAATAAAATGGGGTTTCTGAATTAACTTCTTTCTATGTACTCATCCCACTTACAAGCAGAGAAACAAGTGGAAACAAGTAGTCCCTGGAGTATTAAGAGGCCATTCAAAAACAATAGCTGCAGCTGTGCTGCTCATAGTATCAACTGCAGATACCCTGGCTAAAGTAGTCATCTACTACAGAAAGTGTGGAGCTCTAAAATTAGTGTATGTCTTATGACAGAAAAACATTGCTCAAAATGAAGTGGGAAAATACAATCCAGTAAACTTTGGGGAAAATGTATAGCAATGCTACAATGTTCCAAAATATATGCGACAATGTTTCAAATACCCTATGGGGGAAGCACTGATACAGAAAATGTTAAGGATTGTAACACTAACTCCCAATAGTTTCACACATGTGAAACTTGGGAAATTAAGAACTTGTGTCATAAACTTGTGCAGAAATGAGCAGAAACCTAAGAGGTATGTCACTGTATCATCCTTTTCAACCTTTCATTATAGGACACAGAAGTTAATTTTTTTTCCTACCAAAGAAACTCTAACACAAATCAAAACAGGGCCTAAAAAAAAAAATTAAAGGCGGAGTGAGCCATGTCCAGGGCTGGAATACATGTCTCTCTTTGGAGAGTCATGTATTATGAGGCCAAGAGATTATGCCACTTTTCCTACCATTTGCAAGAAACAGAAAAGAGTTTACAGTCAAATGTTAACACGATAACTCCTGCTTGAACGAGTTCTTCCTATAAACTTTAACTTGGGCATGCACCTCAAACAGGGAAAGCAGCCCAGGTATGTTTGAAGCAGAGCACACTAGAACTTTCATTTAAATTGTCAGTACTCCAAGGACAAGTAGAGTGACATCCACTAGCTGTTCAACTAGCAAAACTAAAGGAAACTACCCAAGAAAGCTACTCAGAGGAAATATTTTATCTTTAAGTTTTAATCATATATTATAGCTGAAAGTTTTCCCAAAACCATTAAGTACAAAAAGCAGACTATTTGGGGAACTCTGTATCTGAACTCATTTTAGAAACAAGAGGATTACTGTAAATTTCATTAGCTGGTATAATGGCATTGCCATTTTTAAAAAAGGAAGTGGAACTGTTGATCAAGTGGTAAGAGCTCTACCCCTGAGCAAAAAGGCTCAAAGACAGTACCCAAGCTCTGAGTTCAAGCCCCAGAACTAGCACAAACAATTTTTTTTAATTTTTAAAAGACCATATAGCCAGGTACTGGTGGTTAATGTCTGCAATCCTAGTTACACAGGAAGCTGAGATCTGAGGATCACAGTTCAAAGCCATCCTGGGCAGGAAAGTCCATGAGATTCTTATCTCCATTTAACCAGCAAAAAGCCAGAAGTGGAGTTGGAGCTGTGGCAAGTGGTAGAGCACTACCCTTGAGCAAAAAAGCTCAGAGACCGTGCCCAGGCCCTGAAATCAAGCCCCAAGACTAGCATGCATCTGCACGCATGTGCGTGCACACACACACACACACACACACACACACACACACACACACACACACACACACACACACACACACACCAGCTTCATGTAAAGATCAGGTCCACAAAATAGGAAAAAGCAGAACTGCTCTAACAGTGGGGAGATGAAGGGAATAGATGTCTACTTAGGCTCTATTTCCCCTCTTTTATGAGCTAGCCTACCCAGAAGTGAAACTCTAGTACTCTCTGGCAGGCATTCTAGAAAGATGTCAATTATGAGCCCAGAGAAAGATACAGAGAGGTATACAAAAGGTTATTAGTGTCAGTTATGCTTCTTTTTATAGTGGAGGGGAGGAGTTGTGGTGAGAAGTGAGAGGTCAACTAGTGGAAGACAAAATAAAAATAGCAATGATAGAGTAAATATAAGAATACCCATCTGTACAGCAACTTTACAATAAAATAAAAATTAAAAGAAATTGTTGTACATATATAAAAGTAAACAGGCACACATCCAAGTACTGATTTGAGTACATAAAAACAAACTTGATGAGGTTATAAGCAATTGCTGTTTTTATACTAATTTCTGCATAAAGTAATGTCTTTTAAAAAGAACAGAAAAGGGGGCTGGGAAGGTGGCTCAGTGGTAGAGGACTTGCCTTGCATGCAGGAGGCCCTGGGTTCGATTCCTCAGCACCACATAAGCAGAAAAAAGAAAAAAGCCGGAAGTGGCACTGTGGCTCAAGTGGTAGAGAGCTAGCCTTGAGCTGAAGAGCTGAGGGACAGCGCCCAGGCCCAGAGTTCAGGCCCCATGACCAGACCCAAATAAATAAATAATAAAAAGAACAGAAAATTATTAATTGAATCTGTTCAATCACACTTGGGAAAATGAGATCTGCATTTGACAATGAGCATGTATACACAAAGGGCTTTGACTACAATATATAGAAAACTTCTACTTAAAATACAGCTCTCCACTGTACCAAACAGCTATAGATGAGCGATTCTGCCATCCAAGTGTTCAAATTAGGGCTAGATATGAGAACAGATTCTATTACATTTTAGAATAAAAATTTTTGAGGAGATTCAACAAACATTATTGACCAGTTTGTAACAGCAAATTCTCTTCTACATGATATTGGACATAGAGTTGAGCAAGACATAGGTGTCTCTCTTCAAGTGTTTACAATGTAATGAGGAAAAAAAATATGAAGAAGTCCTTCTGTAAGGCAGAATGAGATGCAAGAATGACAACTAATTCCAACATGAACACTGACAAAATGGTCATGCAGCAACAACAGGTATGATGAATGTTAAAGAATGAATGTTAAAGGGCTGGGAATGTGGCTTAGTGGTAGAGCACGTGCCTAGCATGCATGAAGCCCTGGTTCGATTCCTCAGTACCACATAAACAGAAAAGGCTGGAAGTGGCACTGTCTCTCAAGTGGTAGAATGCTAGCTTTGAGCAAAAGAAGCTCAGGGAAAGTACCCAGGTCCTGAGTTCAAGCCCCATGACTGGCAAAAATAAAAAAAGAAAGTGTAAAGTCCTATAAGCAGCAGATCCACTGCACTAAACTATTCTAAAACATGACCTAACAAGGAATCCTGGCTAGGTAGAGAAAAGGCAAAGGCCAGACCAAGCTGAGAATAATAAACCTTAGAAAAGACAGAAAAGGCATAATATAATAATCAGGGAGAGGTAAATGATTTGGCTTGGGTAAAATATGTGGGGCAACAGAAATAGGGAAAATACAGAAGAAAACAAGATCAAAAATATACTAGCAAGGGACAAGGCCATGGCAGGTTTTGACATTAAGCTATCTTTAATTATAGTTTAACCTGTGCTAGGCAATTTCAGAAAAAAGAAATCTAGCAGAAGTATGGAAATTGAGGACAGAGATTGGAGACACTTCAGCTATTTTAGGAAGATAGCTTAAGGCAGCATGAGAGTCAAAATATTAATTACATGATTTAGCTACTTAACAGTTTCTGTATGTCTCATAAAAACCTACATAATAGGACACGCCCAGTACCTTCGTTTTCCCAGGCCTGGAGCTGATCTTGATCCCTGGTAGCACTGCCCAACACCTCTCGAGGGACAGGTTCCATTCGTGCATCCACTTTTTCTTGGTGAGATGACTGGTTAAATCCTTCAATGGCCTTTTGGAAAAAGGAGTTCAGCTCCTCGAAGTTCATGGCCTGGAGCTCTTCATAAAGTTCTACCTGTTGAGCTTCTTCCAGCTCATTCCAGAACTGCAGCAGGTGTTCTTGCCCAGCCTTGGACAACCTGAGTTTGAGCTCATTAGCATTCATAGTGCTTTGACAGCTAAGTTTTGTGAGAACAGGTGTGGGATTGCTGCAGCTGTAAACCTAAAAGAAAAAAAATGAATTAATAGCAGACCAAAGTCCAAGCTCCAAACCTGAGAGATTGTTCCCTACTAAATTAAGTACAGTTTTATACTTAATTAAGTATAGCTATGTACATCTAAGTAAGTGTTAGGAAATGACAGACCACATTTACTACCGCAGTGGTCCCAGGAAACTATGATGCATAGTTGCACCTGAGCCATCTTGGTGAATGTAAGTACACTCTATGATGCTAACACAGTTATGAAACAGCCGAATGTCATGTTTTAGAACATACTCCCTTTGTTTGATGTATGACTGGACTGGATGTGTAGGAATAGACTTCTGTATTTCTGACAACGTTTGTGATAGACCAAATTTGTTAGATTTGTTAGAAAACAACTAGCACCATGTCCCAGGTGCTGTATAAAGTCTTTAATTTTTAACATCTATGGAATCTGTGCTGTTGTTGTCATTCATTTACCACAGAAGAGATGAAGCACAGAGCCACTAAGCAATCTGGCCAGTTGGTGGAATGGGACAGAACCCCAGGAAACCTGAGTCCAGGACTCACACTTTTCATTCTTGTTGCCTCTGTACTAGCCTTCTGATCACTAAGCTACCAATAAGTATTTTAACTCATCTCCTTTTATCTCTAATGATAAAAATCACCATCTAACTGTGTCTCACAGGAAACAGATTAGGTAGATAAGATTAGGGGGAAAAGCAGAGCTGGGTGTCCATGAGGAGTGACCATGTCTGAGAGAGAAAGCAGTGAGAAAGTGAATGTCTTCTATGCAAACATGGTGTTGGGTAGGGCTAGACTACAAGCTAGGAAGCTATGCAGTGGAATGCAGATCTAACAGAATACATAACAGGCAGCCAACAGTAGAATATTAAACAGGGCACAGCATCGTGCTCTACAGAGATGAAAAAAATATTAGAAATGGCAACAAAAAATTGTAATAAGGGACAAGAAGTAGGGAAAAAAGGTTAAAGACAATTGAAGGTAGAAAACAAGCAAAGGTATAAACCAGATTAGTTGCAAAAAAAAAAGAAAGATTGAAAGGGATAAATGTGAGGCCTACTTATAACTACTCAAATGAAAAAGTTAAGAGGACAAGGAGGTACCAAAGAAACCACCCATTCTTCTCTCACACAATAGTGAAAGGTAATATATCAAATTATTCAGAACATAATTCTAGAGTTTGCCTGGGTCACTTAACTTTCTGGTGACTCGGGTGCCTCACTCAGAACAAGACAACCTTCAGGTTGAGATATAGGCAGCTGAAATTTTATCAGTCATTCAGAGCTTCACAATGGAGACAATGTTCTGAAAATCAGATCACTGTGTCAATCTCATATAGCCTGCTTACTTAGTGTAGCTCAATCACCCAACTGCCTTTTGATGCAATCAAGAGACATAGCATGCACAAAATGTTTGGTGTTGCTGCCAGCATAACATGTATAACACATATACTGTTTCATAGTAAAAAATTTCGATACACAGAATTATACTCCAAAACTATGATAAGTATAGTACAATAAATATGCAAGCCAGTAACATAGACATTTAAAGCCATACAGATTATATGCAAATGTGTTGTTCTTTTACTGGACTGTCAAGGCAGGAGATCCTTATAAATCAGCATCTGCAAACTTACAAGGAAATGTTGTGGCATGCTATGATATTACAAGTGTAATGATGTCATTAGGCAATAGGAATTTTTCAGTTCCATCATAATCTATGGGACCACCATGTTATATTTGGTCATGCTGACTGAGACACTGCTATGCAATATGTGAATATATAGCTCCTGAGCTGCCCTCTTCATTACGTGAACAGCTTACCCTAGAATTTTCCTTTTTTGATTTGTGCCAGTCCTGGGGATGGAACTCGGGGTCTGGGCTCTGTCTCTGAGCTTTTTGCTCAAGGGTAGTGCTCTACCACATTAGCCATAGCTCTACTTCCAGCTTTTATAACACTTAATTGGAGATAAGAGTCTCACAGACTTTCCGGCCTGGGCTGATTTCAAACCATGATCATCAGATCTCAGCCTCCTAAGTAGCTAAGATTACAGGTGTGAGCCACCAGCATGCAGCTGAAGTTTCCTTTTAATGTGCAAATAAATATATGGTAACAACTTTAAAAGGAAATTATTAGAAGAGATTAGAAATTAAGATTGTTAGAAATTAGAAATTATTAAGAAGGAAAATTATTAACTATAGTGTGTTTTTGATCTGGGTGATGTGACATGAAATGAAGAAAGCAACAATGTGCATGCCCACATTCCAGTGTAGGAGACAAAAACATAAAAGACCAGGCAGTACTGGGAGACAAACCTATGAAGAAAAATAAAATAGCAGAAGTGGCTGAGGAACCACAGGATGTTGGAGGATATTTTAGATGGGTGGTGAGGTAGGACATCTATTGGTCTGATTTGAGAAAGCATCTGAATGAAGAATAGAGCAGGTCAAGTTAATAATATAGGGAAAAGCATTCTAAGTAAAGAAAAGCAAATAGCCCCAATTCAGAAATGTGCTTGATGCAAGGAAGAGTACAATGAATGAGGCAAAAAAGTCTAGCACAGACAAGGTCAAGTTCGATCGTGTGGTCAAGGTGAGGACTCTGGGGTTTGGTAAGCCAAGTAAAACAAGGGAATATCATGATCCAGGGGGCATGGTGGCTCTCACCTGTAATCCTAGCTACTCAGAAGGCTGAGTTCTAAGGATCGCAGTTGGAAGCCAGACCAAGCAGCAAAGTCCATGACACTCTTATCTCCAATAAACTGCTCAGAAAAAGCCAGAAGTGGTGCTATGGCTCAAGTGGTACAGCGCTAGCCTGGAGCAAAATAAGCTCAGGGAGAGCACCCAGGCTCTGAGTTCAAGCCTCAGAACCAGCAAAATATAAAATATTGATTTGTATACGTTGTAAGAGTTATGGTACATTTTTAATTTTTGTAATCATATAGGAAAGATAATGGAAAGGGATAGATTTGTATTATTTTCCAAGAAATAGTTTCACTTACAAGATTATGCTTGCCCTTGTTTAAGGGAGTATATTGTAGTGGAAAGGGAAATAGGTAAACAGGTAACCAAAGAACAGGAGATCCTAGTTTTTGGTCCCTCCCCCATCATTTGACCAGCGCAAATAATTTTACTTCCTTGTACAAACCAACCTTTCCTTACGACAACCAACTCTTTCATATAGCCTCAAGAGTCAACAATGAAGAGGGCTTGGTCTACTAAAAAAACACAGACAAGCATATAATACTTTAAGCAATAAGGAAAACTTTCTCTGAAGTCATTAGATTCCCATGCACCTTCAGAGACTTTCGGGGGAAAAAAATGGATCTAGACAAATAAGTCAATTCATAAACTTTGCTTTTGACCAGAACATTACAAGATCACATATGCTCATTTATGCTATAGATTATTCATAACAACCATAACTTGAGCTTTGGGCAAGTATAATTATCTATGATGTTTACTAGAAGCAACAATAACTACCTCTATACTTTCAATACAGTATCCTGATTCCCACTTATGCTGGTAATAAGGTGTGTGTATGTGTGGTGTATTGTATGTAATGGCATGCAGATAAGAAAACAAAAGAGTTTAAAGACATGGATTTTTATTCTGACAACCAATATCTGAAAAGAAAATTGAACTTCACTCTAGAAATTATAACAAAACTAGATAGGTACCTAAAGAATAATGTGGTGATAATCCATCATTATCAAATAGATTTTTATTGGAATTTAAGTACCAGCATTAAAGAAATCCAGCATCTCCCTCTGTTCTGGTCTCTGTCACTATCTCAGCGGCTCCATGTATGCCCTTTATGTATATGTATTTTAAGCAAACCTCTTACAGATTTTGAAAAAGAGTATTAAGGTTGGGCCATAACCACTGACTGTACCTTTCCTTAAGACATTTTTAGTGCCAGCTATGTGAGTCACCTAACAGTGACAGACTAGACAAGAATCTTCAGTTTCCTGCAAACCCTTGGGTTCACACCCAATGAATCTCACCTCAACTCCCCAAACGTCTGCATCACATAATGACTCGTGTGTCATCTAAGACTTCAGATTTCATAAATATGGCATCGGACCAAACTTGATTTAAAAAAAAAAAAAATCTTCTAGGAACCATCTGCTCAACACATGTGTGCTCTCAGCCCTCCAACCCCAGCCTTCTGCTTGGCCAAGTGAAAGGAAACCCAAAAAATCCGAACCTTCTCCTACCACCAGTCTTAATAAGGGGGAGAGCGTTGGTCCAGCTGTCACCTCCCCTACAGTTACCTCCTGTCCTTGTCAGACTTCTCCGTCCCTTCCCTCAGACACTCGAGACACGCCAATCCGCACCCCCTGGCAGTTCCAACGACCACCTACCCCCCTGGCGCACCCTCAGACTTGGCAACTGCTCACAGGTTCTGGCCTGAGACCTCAGGGTTCCAAGGTGAGGGCCCACACCCAACCGCCCTGCCAGGCACCTCTGACTCCAGACATTGGCCCCCACACCCTCCATGCACCCCTTTTCTATTTGGAGCGCCCCCATTCATCCCCGCCGGGCTCTCCAGCCCGCGGCCCAGCCCACACAACCCTCGGGCGGGCGCGGGGGCGCGGGGGCGCGGGGACGCAGCGCAGGGCGCGGGCGGGCCCCCGTGTGGCCCGGCACCTTCCCACGGCGCGCGTGTCCACCTCTGCGCGCGCGCGCGCGGCGCGGGAGCGTGCGTGTGGAGGGGCTGCGCCCCACGCCCACCCCGGGTCCCGGGTCCCCGCGGCCCCTCACCGACTGAGACCCCCTACCTCCTCTCTCCCAGCGATGGCAGCTCGACCCGGCTCCGGCTCCCACAGCTCGGCCACTCATTGGCGTCCCGCGCCCGCTCGGAATATATACGCTCATCCGGGGGTGGGGGTGGGGGGCGGCGCGGGCCGGGCACGGAGCGGATCGGAGCGCGGGCCCGGCCACCCCGCCCCTCGGGCCGCGTTGAGTGGTTGCGGGGAGGAGCGGAAGCCGAACGCCCCGACACGTCAGCTCAGGAGTGCAGGCCACCGGGAGGGTGCCCGAAGGGCGGGGGGACGTGGGGCGGGGACTCCGCGCGTCACTCACTCTCTGGCCCAATGAGACAGCCGGGAGTCCTGTCAGTCTGCGGCACCGCCTCCCCACGCACAGGCGGGGGGCGGAGTCAGCTGCGTCCACTGGCAGGAGCGGGGCCCGGCCCAGCGCAAGGACAACGCTGGCGGAGGATCAGCCTGGCGGCTCCCAGAACCTCGGGTACACCCAGGGCTGGGCCTGAAAAACCACCTCCAGACTAAGAGTCCATGGCTCCTAGACGCCTTGCTGGCCGCGGCACGAAGGGCAAGCCCTAGCCAGAAGCGGAGCAGTTGGGCCGGCAGCGGTGTCATCGGTGGCGGATTCCCGAACACCTCCCCGAGCCCGAGCCGACGGGAAAGAGGACCTGACCCTGGGCTGGCGGGAAAGAGGCCCCTACCTGACCCTGGGCTGGTTCTTTGGTCTCTAACTCTGCCAGAGCCCCGACTTCCTCCGTGGTGGTGGTTTTTGAGTCCCACGCGGGCGAAGCCAGGCCAGTTTCCTTAAGCACGAATGCACGTGGAAGTAAAGCAAAGGAGGAAGAGTCCAGTGAGAGGGATCGCAGGGCCCCGTGGGCCCGGGGTCCGCTGGCCACCAAAATGGTGTGTGGACTGGTGACCTCCAGGGCTGATGTGTAACAGTCCTGTTACACAAGCTTCTGTGGTATGCACACGTGGGTTATATATTTACACGCAGGTTAAAATGTGTGTTTAGTGTGTTGCACTTCGTAGTTTTTGCAGCAAGCCCTTTAAGAAGTGTCAAACCTACCTCGGCCTAATTTGGCCTCTATCATAGAGAAATTCAGGCATGTAGGTGTCCTTCTCTGTTAATATCTGGGTGTAGGGCTGGGGTTCTTCTTCGATGTTTCCGTAACTTTCTCTTTATTTTTATAAGAACTCTAGAATCGGGGCTGGGAAGGTGGCTCAGTGGTAGAGCGCTTGCCTTGCATGCATGAGGCCCTGGGTTTGATTCCCCAGCACCACATAAGCAAAAAGAAAAAAAGCCGGAAGTGGCGCTGTGGCTCAAGTGGTAGAGCGCTAGCCTTGAGCTGAAGAGCTGAGGTACAGCGCCCAGGCCCAGAGTTCAAGCCCCACGACCGGACCCAAAAAAAAAACAACCAAAACTCTAGAATCGCGTTGTCTAATTTATAAACATAATTTGTAAATTAATAAGTTATTTTTCGATGTGATAGGCACCTTTGGGAGCTTTCAAAAGTTTGTGTGATTGCCCAAACGCAAAAGAAACTCAGAGCACACGGCAGGTTTCCAGGAAAAGGATTAAGGAAGGGTGTGATCATAAAAAAACAGTAGTTTGCTTGTGCGGAAGTTTCCAGTCACAATACTGTCACCTAAGCTGTCAATGCCACCAAACAGCTTTGTTTATGTTGGAAGCTGTACCTCCCTAAGAGGCACTGTTTTTTTGTTTGTTTGTTTTTTCTGGTGCTGAAACTTATGGTTTTGTAAACAGGTTTAAAGAGTACAGAACCTGCTCAGCACCAGTGGCTCACACCTGTAATCTGAGGACCACGGTTCAAAGCCAGCCCGAGCAGGAAAGTCCCTGAGATTTATCTCCAATAAACCACTCAGAAAACCAGAAGTGATGCTGTGGCTCAAGTGGTAGCCTTGAGCTGAGAGAGAGCGCCCAGGCCCAGAGTTCAAGCCCCTGACGGACAAAAACAAAGAGTACAGAACCTGTACAAGCTGGAAATTACTTGGAATCCTTTGACCTTGATCTGTGAATGTCCCTTGGGCTGTAAGATTAAACTGCCACACTTTCAATGAAGAACAAATACCTGTTCATTCAAATTATATTTATTGGGTTGCTCTGGTCTGGACCTAGTGACAGATACCTTGGGACTTGAAAAGATTCTATGTCCTCAAGGAATCTGACCTAGGAAAGACAGACGTTTCTTATGCAAAATAGAAGTACTCAAGTGTTGCCGCAAATACACAAAACAAAGCCTTCAGGGCTGAGGGGGTTTGGGGGGTGGGAGGAAAGGAAAGGAAGGAAGGGAAGGGATTGGATTTCCCATAAAGGGAGGTCAGTCAACAGAGTTTGAGGTGGGAAGTGAGAGAGGGCCTCCCAGGAAGTTTCCTTTGATACTCAGCCTTGGTGATTAGAAGCTTTGAGATGTTTTATCACTGTCAACACAATTATATCTCAACAACCATCACAGGCTCTATGAAAAACACGAAGGAATTTGTACAAAGGTTAAGAAAAATTAGGAAAGCAAGATGTCTACCTAAGGATCTATGAAGTTTGAAGCCTTAAAAGAAAATATCCTTTTCATCTCCCTCCCCAAAAAAGAGAGACTGCTTAACAAATTGTGCATACTTTTAGTAATATAATCTCATCCTGGTTAAAAAAAAACAAAAACAAAAAAAGTTAAGCCAGGCATTGATGACTCACACCTGTAATCCTAGCTATTCAGGAGGCCCAGATCTGAGGATAGCAGTTCCAAGTCAGCCTGGGCAGGAAAATCCTCAAGACTCTTCAATAAACCACTCAGAAAACCAGAATTGGCACTGTTGCTCAAGTGGTAAAGCACTTGCCTTGAGCTAAAGAGCTGAGGGATAGGGCCTAGGACCAGAGTTCAAGCCCCATGATCAACCAAAAAAAAAATGTTAATACTTTAATATACTAGGTAAAGGATGGGTAGAAGAATGGATAAGTAGACAAGTATGGCTGAGATTGGGGGGGAGGGGAAATCATCTGAAACTTTAGTTGACACAAAACTGAACTAAAATATCTAATACATCTTACAGAATTAGTTAAATGAGAAAAGTCCTACCCTTAAGTAGCTATATAATAAATACAAGGTGAATAAAAGGAAAAGAGGAGTAAAGGAAAATAAAAATGAAACAGTCTTCTGTTAAAAATACAAAATTATGTTGGAATGTAACAAGAAATATTGTTATTTTATAAATTACTAATACATGTTAGTTGTATGCATGACTGAGTTTCACTGTAACATTTCCTTACGTACATATATCATGCTTTCATCAGATCCATACTTCCAACTACTCTCTAAATTGTTTAAATAGGATATTATTGTGAAAAAAATTAGAACTCAGAAGGCAATGCAATAATATTTTGTCTTTTAGGCATAATTAGGCCAGAGTGATTTTTATATTATTTTGTATGTTTGGGGGGATAGTCTCTGAATTTAATAATGTGGACATTATTTTCATATTACAAAACTAGGTTTGTTATTTTAATGGAACAGATACTTGCTTGGTTTTTTTTTCCCCTATAGTTGTGTCAGATATGTGACCAGCCTGCCTGTGCCTTCTTGTTTAGTACCACCAATGAGGACCTACCCTGATTTATTGAACCTCGGTTGGCACTGGCAAGGCCACACCAGTGTCTTCTCTGTTTTGAATGTAGTGGTCTCAACTAGTCCTGTAAGCTTCTGAAAATGCTGGGCTTGCTTCTCAGCAGAATATCCAAGGCACCAAAATAAGAGTCTGGCTCATCTCAAGACTTGGTTCTCAGAAAGGCCTGAACATTCATGAAGTCACTGTTTCCAAGAGACTAAAAATGGGTGGTAGAGGGATGAGTGTTTTGACTTGCCCGTTGACAATTTCCTGAGACATGAGTATTTCACTCTCAGGAGATCATACTGACTTAGCTCACCACTCCTCCACACTTTAATTTTCTGTAGCTCAGGGTGTGTCCTTGAAATACTGTGAAATGAAGAAATTGCCCTGTAAAATGTCAGTATCTTTACTCAGTGTATTCCACACCCTCCTAAAGTTTATGCAATCCTTGGAGGTTTTGAGCTACAAAGTTCAGAGACATCTGTGTGTGCCTACAAAGTATGGGATGATTGGGATGATATGCAAAGATGAGTAAACAGACGGCCCTTCAGAACCACCCACAACCTTAGTGCCATCTAAGTAACAGAATCAAGTGTACTGCAGTAGATAAGAAAGTTCGGGCATTCAATGATTGCAAGAAGAACACAGATATGCTTTTATCTTCAAGTGCTTGGGATAAACTATCTGTAGCAGACACTCTACCTTGAGACATCACTTTAGTACTTAATTCTTTATAGGTTCTTTGTTCTTAACATGTCTACCTGACCTCTTGATTTATTAGTATACCCCAACAAAAACCCTGCTCTTGGTCTTCTCTAGCTCCTGGTTTCTCAGGCCAAAATCTTATTCAGTCACTCTTGATGATTCAAAGTCTATATGCTCTATCTTCAAAATATTACTGGAATTCCATTTGTTTTCATCATTATTTTCGTCCAGCGTAGTCTAATATATCATGATCTGTTACATGGATTAGTGGTATCTCAGCCAATCTTCTTGCTTCTATCCATATTGCATTCTCAATATGACAGCCAGAATGATTTCTGGAATCCTGTCACTTTGCTATTCAAATCCTTTCATGTCTGCCTTCTTACGTCCCTCAGAGCAAAATGCCAAATCATCAAATGACCTGTCAGGTCCTACAGATCCATTCCCTCACTTTATCCTACATTTCTCTTCCTTCTTTTCACCCCTAGTTTCCATATCTTGCCATGGTTCTCCAAACTCCAGCCACACCAGAGCTGAAAGGGTCCCCTGAAAGGGTCCCCTGATGAGTTTTTCACACCACACCACACACACACACACACACACACACACACACACACACACCATCCTTACATCCTATGGAACAAAAGATACAGAGTTAATACTATGACCTGCATATTCTATGGCTATAAGCCCCTTATGTTATACAATTATGATTCACTTTGCTGATATAACAAGGGCACAAAGAAATTCTTTGCCTTCTTAAGTTGTCTTCTTAAGATGCCTTTTCTTATTTGTGGGGTGGGGGTGGGGAGAAAGGGAGAAATGATGAAAAGAAACAA